AAAAACAATTGTATTCTTGCCACGTTTCGAATTTAATTAAATTCTTCTTCAGGGCTCTGTAACAATGAATTTTCATGAATATACCTTCCACAAAACTTATTTCAATTTCACAAGAAATAATGAGTTCTCATTTAAATTACTCACCAAAAAGTAGTTTTTTTGTGTTGATGATAATACTATTTCAAAAATCATCAGACATATTAGATACGTATTTGAAAAATAAAAAACACATTGCAAACAACAGATTTTCGAGACAACACCAACACAAAACGACATGAAACAAACGAATGGCTTTATCTCTGATTCTGATAAGGTGGTGTCTGTTTTTTATTCAATGGCAGAAAGAAAAAGAATGAAAGAAGTGTAAATTATTCAGGTATTTTACGTATCAAATTGAAACATGCGGTATTAAGGCCATCGACATCTCTTCTAGTGTTAACACTATCGCATTTGACGATATGTATCATTTCGCTCAAAAGTCTTTTTGATAAGTATGGTTGAACATCTAAAATAGTTGGATTATCAAAATAAAAAATGTGTCCATATTCTTTTTCATGTTCAACGAGAGCTGTAGGATTTTTCATATTCAGTTTCTTAGAGTCTCTCATGTGTTATGAACCTCGTGTTTTAAGATACCGTCCGGTTTGACCAACATAGCAGTTGTGACAGCTTCCACATTTCAATTTGTACACAATATTGGATTGTATTTCTTGTGGTGTTTTTGTTTTTTGTTTCGAGAAAAAATGCTTTCCAACTGTAAGTGGCTGTAAAAGCCACTTTTATTTCTTCGGTATTGAGTAGCATTCCAAGTTTAACAGATACATTTTCTTCAAATGGAATTTTTTGATATTTGGGTTTCACCCCTGTATTTTGTAAAAACTTGACACTCTGAAAATAATAATATCAAAAGACGGCTTGATATCATTCATCAAATTCAATTTAGTCGTCCTTTTCAGCTGAAGTTTCATACGGCGTAGGCCAATGGAACCAGGTCCTTTTCTCCACTCATTTGGAAAATATCATAAATGGAAACAATCCTCAAAATGAAGAACTGAGGTTACTTTTCGAAAAAATATGTGCGTCAATCTCGAGAGAACAAAACTATATTGAACTTACAATCTCAAAAAAAATAACCCAGGTCCATTCCAACAATCCACCATTCTTTTATTTTATCGAGTACAGAAAAAAATTCTGAAGTTTATGAAATTCTCCAATCTTCTTTATGATTTTAATTTTCCTCTGACCCATCAGAACATCAGTAACTCTTGAAAAAAAGCGACCTACCCCAATGTTCGTTCTAATTACTATGAGATTGATTATTTATATCGATTATTTCAAAAGTGTATGTATGATGTGAATAATAAATCAGGCCTTATTGAAAAATCTGTTCGATGTGAATCATTCTGGAATAAATGTCTTTCCATTCACTGAGAAAATATTCAAAATCTGGCTGAAAATGAAAGTTATTCAACATCAAAGTTTGTTTGCACCCCTGTGTATTTTTCAGGTTACCGTTGTTGACAATTTTGCGCCAAGTTGTGCAAAAAAATAGTTCAAAAATTATAAATAACTTAGTTGGGTGCTACGAATCACATGTTGAAATGTGCAACCACGTTAATCCCAATTTCGCACAAAGTTTAACTTCCAAAGGTCGTCAATAGTAGGGGACGATAGCTAAATGATAAATAAACAGTAATTTTTTCACAATTTTTGTAAAAAAAACATATTTTTCGTGAAAAATTTTGTTGGTCAACCTCAGATTCGTGTTCAGCAGCCCAAAATACTATTTAGAATCAATTTTCAAAACTCTTGCGAAACCTACCGCAAAAAAACACAAGCTGCTTGGACTATAAGTGGGTACCTATTGATTGACTGACACTCTTATATTAACGTACAGCTGAGGCTACTGAACTTAGATTCTTGAGATATGCAAGTAGGCTTTTTGTACCAATTTTAATAAGAATTTGATAGATATTCTAAAATGTGTATCCAATTCAATTGTATGCTATCGCAGACTTTCATTTGATTCCAACGGTATATGCTTATACCGGCCGGCAGCGCCGCCAAGATAGCTCTCAGGAAGCAAGAATGTTTCCGACTTACTTGATACTTATCGTTATATTATGACCAAAATCACACCAAACCTTTGTAAATTATAGCCTATATGTTTGTCTGATGTATAAGCTGTATTTATGTAAAGTTTCACATACATTTATCCATCCTCACAAACTTTCACATTTATAATATCAGTATAGATCTATAGATTGTCAGCTCAAAAAGTCAATTATACCTAACAAACAGTTCAAAAATTAATCGATAGTGGTCGATAGTTTGAACGGTCGATTACGGGCTTTTGATTACTTATTTATGGCAAGTCGATAAAAAAATAATTTCAGTTCCAGATGGAGAAATACATCATTATCAAGGATAGCTTGAAATAAATTCGTCGCTTTCAATTGCAAGGCCGTTCCATCGAGTTCATCATCAATCCAACACCTGATGGAGGTGATCCTGTGAGATGGATGAAAGGGGCTATCGAAGATATTGTTAAGAAAGGTATCGAAAATGTGCTACCAACAGACCAGGTTGGTTTCACCTTTTCTTCAAAGGACTTTGCTCATGGTGAAGGTTGGATGAGATTTAGACCTGCAAGGGAAATTACCTTCAAAGATATTTGGCATACAATACATTCTATTTATCAATCCAACGCGAAAGTATCCAACACTGATACTTTCTGCATCAGTATAACCACCGTGAGAATGCCTGCTGGAAAAGGAAGGAAAAAAAAGTACAACACTTTCGAAGAGGAGTGTGCCGGAAGGCACAGTCTCATCACCATCAACAACAAAGATAATTTGTGTTTACCACGAGCTCTGGTTGTTGCGATGGCTGTTGTCGATAAGGACCCTGAATATGTTAAAGTTCGCCGAGATACAAAAAAAATACAAACCTCAAGAGCCCGGGAGCTAATGCAAGCTGCCAATGTACGTATCACCAATGAAGGATGTGGCATCTCTGAACTAGAAAAATTCCAAGCCTACCTCGAAAATTACAGAATCGTTGTCTACAACTATGGAACAAAGGGCCGTGACATCATTTTTGACGGTTCCAATCATTCTACTAAAAAGTTAAACTTACTGTATCACAAAAGACATTATAGCGTTATAAAATCTCTCACTGCAGCATTCAGTTGTGTTTATTTTTGCGAAGATTGTCATGAACCCTACGACCATAAGCGGAATCATAGATGTGGGAAGACATGTTTTGCTTGTCAGCAGTCCCCTCCTTGCAAAGAAAATATTAGGATAAAATGCGCTGATTGTCAACGCTCCTTCAGAGGACAAAACTGTTTTGAAAATCATAAACCAAAACTTTGCGATGAAATCCGTTTGTGCTCTATCTGTTTCAAAACCGTGAAGAGAGACAGAACACATAAATGCGGAGAGGTATTTTGTAAAATTTGTTGCAAACACTGCGCCTCTAGCCACTTATGTTTTATGCAACCCAATACCAGTAAACGAAAATCAGATGAGATCATCTTTATATTTTACGATTTGGAAACTCGACAAGAAAAACAACTTGAAGACGGTTCCCTTCTCCATGAGACTAACCTGTGCGTTTTCAAACAAGCTTGTTACATTTGCTTAGGAAAAAATGAAGAGATTTGTGAGACGTGTGGACTTCGTCTTCAAGTATTGAGAACCTCTGACGCCATCTCTTCTTTTGTGAAACACATTTTGATATTGCGAAAGAAATTCGACAATGTCATCGTGCTGGCTCATAATGGACAATCATTCGATCATCAGTTTGTCCTGAATTATGTGTTGACGAAAACAGTTCTCAAACCCAAGCTGATAATGAGAGGTACCAAAATAATTTCAATGGAAATAGAAAATGTTAAATTTTTGGATTCTTTGAATTATTTTCCAATGAGTCTTGCTAAACTCCCACAAGCTTTCGGGCTCGGCGATATTTTTAAAAAAGGATATTTTCCGCATCTATTCAACACCAAAGCAAACGAGACATATTGTGGTCCTCTACCACACATCAAATACTATAGCCCTGATAAGATGATGTCGGGAGATCGAGAGAAATTTTTGGAATGGTATCAAAAACACAAAGATGACGTGTTTGATATGAAAAAAGAGATTGAAGATTATTGCATTTCCGATGTTGAAATACTAACAGCCGCCTGCCTTAAATTTAGAGAACAACTACTTGATGCCACTAATGTCGACCCATTCCTCGAAGCCTCCACTATCGCTTCGGCATGCAACAAAGTCTTTCGAAGAAATTTTCTCAAACCCGAAACTATAGGAATAATTCCTAAAAACGGATACAGACTCAGGGATAAACAGTCGCAAATAGCTCTTCGGTGGTTAGTATGGGAAGAGCATCAGAGATCTATCAATATTCAGCATGCTGCTAAAGGTTTCGAAGCCATTGTTTCTGGTGTGAAAGTGGACGGATTCTGTTCAGAAACTAATCAAGTTTTCGAATTCCAAGGGTGCTATTATCATGGGCATCCAAAATGTCTGAAATATGTAAGAGACAAATTATTAGACAATGAATCGCCGAAAGAAACACTGAATACGAAATACGAGAGAACCGTTGCCAAGAATGATAGAATTCGAGAACTAGGTTATGAACTCATCGAAAAATGGGAGTGCGAGTTTCTAAAAGAGTGTGATGGAAACTTGGAAATGATTGAATTTCTAAAAAACAACTCACTGCTGAAAAACTCTCCTCTCAATCCTCGTGACAGCTTCTATGGTGGTCGAACAGGGAATACTGTGGAATATTATAAAGTTGAGAAGGAAGAAAAAATCAAATATTTAGACGTATGCTCGCTTTATCCGTGGGTATGTAAGTACGGAAAATTCCCAATTGGACATCCGAAAGTTTACGTAGGTGACGAATGTCAGTCGTTCGATTGGTGCAATATGAACGGCATAATAAAGTGCACTATATTACCACCACAAAACTTGTTTCATCCAGTATTACCGATGAAAATGAATGACAAGTTGATGTTTGTTTTATGTCAAACTTGCGGAGAGACTCTAAGCGACGAATGTCAGCATAACACTGCAGAGCGTGCATTGACAGGTACATGGGTTCTAGATGAGGTGAAGAAAGCCCGGGAAATGGGCTATGAAATGTTACGCATTCACGAGATTTGGAGTTATAATATCACAAAATTTGACAAACTTGCTGGAACCAGCGGATTGTTCACCGAAATGATGAATAAATTCGTCAAAATAAAGCAGCAGGCATCAGGATGGCCAAAAAATTGCACCGAAAAAGACAAATACATAGAAGAATTTTTTATAAAGGAAGGAATTGAATTGGACCGTTCCGATATCGTGGAGAATCCTGGACTGCGATCTCTGGCCAAACTTATGCTCAATTCTTTTTGGGGTAAGCTAGGGCAGCGTGAAAATCAGCCCAAAACTTCAATTATGAATGAACCATATGAACTATCCTTAATATTAACGGACCCTTCCAGATATGTAAATTCTATTCTACCAATCAACGAGGAAACAGTAATCGTCAATTGGGAGTATAGGGAGGAAAGCTATGCACAACTCTCCACAGTTAACGTGGCTATAGCTGCTTTTGTCACTGCACAAGCTCGTCTCAAACTTTATAGCTTTTTGGAAAAACTAGGTGAAGGAGCACTCTACTATGATACAGATTCTGTCATATTCACTCACAAACAAGGGGAATATGAGCCGCTTATAGGAGACTTTTTGGGTGACCTCACAGATGAACTTGTATGTTACGGTCCTGGATCACACATTACTGAATTTGTCAGCGGAGGACCTAAAAATTACGCATATAAGGTATGGTGCACTAACGAAAACCGTGAAGAAATTGTATGCAAAGTGAAAGGTATTTCCCTTAATCATTCGGCCTCCGAACTGGTCAACTTTGAATCAATCAAAAAAGCTGTTTTGGAAAAGTCTGAGCCAATCTGTATTCTGTCAGATGCTATACTTCGAACACGAGAACATGAAGTGGTTACGAAGGAGACGACTAAAATATATCGTCCTAAATCTCTCAAAAGAAAATTTGCACCTGATCACTCTTCACTGCCTTACGGCTACAAAAAAACAAAGTCTAAAAAAGTTTCAAGAAACCATCCGCTTCCCACCACTCCATAGAAGAAATATCATTAATTACTGAAGAACGGTGAATAAAGTTGGATATTTATTACTTTCTCAACATACGTTCAAACTTTTTTTTATTGGAAACAATTCATTCGAAATTCGTGTACTGAAAGAGCAAGTTTGACGAATGTTCTGAACCATATTGGACAATGAATTCAAATGCACCTTCTGTAATTTTAGTTTCGTTAAATGTATTTATTATTATATTGGTTTTTCACTACTGTATCTTCAGTGCTTCAATTATTATACAATTACTTATTATAATAACTGCAACTATTTTGGAAAAAAAACTTGCTTTATTTAACTGAATGACATAGGCATATAAAGTTGTTTTTTTTTTCGATTGGTAATAAACATCAATTTCAGGGACATTTATCGCTCGTAGAAATGACATTTCGATTTTTTTCAATACCTACTGAAAATCTAATAAATTACCCACGAAACAAAGTTTTCCCGGGTATATTTGTGTATGAAATAGAATAGAAGAACGTCAAAATTTACACTGGTGGCTCCAAAACTGAGTCAGGTACTGGATGTGCTTTTTACGTTCCAACCACCAAAGTAACTCACAAAGTTCTAATATCTAATGATGCATCTCTTTACACAGCTGAGATTTACGCGATAGAGAGGGCATTGCTGTTGATAACGAGCAACAGGGTGAGCAAATCAATTATCTTGTCAGACTCTAAATCAGAACTAGATTCTGTCAGTCATCCAATCATGAAGAAATATGATAATGTGTTGCTTTGCAATATCAGAAGACACATTCTATCATATCTTCTTCAGAGTTAGATTCGTTTAGGTGAAAGGTCATGCAGCAATAATGGGCAATGAGTTGGCCGATCATGCGTCTGAAGAAGATACCCATTAGAGTGAAAAAGAAAATTGTATATCTATAAATTTGATACCTAATTTGAAAAAAAATCAAAAAGACAAATGTCGAGATAATTAGCATAACTATACTATCAAATATAATAATTCTTATACTCTGATTTACCCCATTGTTGTCAAGGCAATTCCACATATTGAATTATATACAGTACCAAGGTTCTATGCCGTCACAATACTAGCTTATGTACATGTGATGATAACTCTGTGGCCCATTTGAACCATTCATTTTTTGCATGTCAAAATCATGTTCCAGAAACACAAAACCTACTGTCCATACCTACATCCCTCAATATCCAACTCCCGGTAAATATCACAGGCCTTCTAGCGATGGAAAACAAATTGATCTGTGATCTACTGATTATGTTTGTTATGAAAAGTAAAATAATTATATGACTGAATAGATTTGGGAAGCTGAATACACTTATTGAATGATTGGATCGAAGAGTTTTTGTATGAAAGTGTATAATTATAAATTCTTATTCCAAAGTGCTTTCGACTTTCGTCATCATCAGTGCTCACTTCTCAGGCAACAGGAAGTATTGAAAACGAGGACATAGTACATTGGTAAGATCTGATTTATATTAAAGTATTTATCCTAATAATCAACGAAATACATGTTAGAGATTGTGGCCATATATATAAATCAAATCTTACAAATGTACTATGTCCTCGTTTTTGATACTTTCAGTTGGCTGACAAGTGTGCACTGATGATGACGAAAGTCGAAAGCGCTTTGCTATACAGTTTTATACAAAAACTCTTCGATTAAATTATATAACTGACTACCTATATCCAACACTCTGTGGCAAAAGGATAACTCCAATGCCAATCCTCCTCCCCCCCTACAAACACACACACACACACACACACACAAAACTACAAAATTCATAATTTCATCATGATTTCAAAATTAGTAATCAAATCAAAACACAGAATATAACACAAAACATATCAAAATGGATATTTGTTGTGGATATTCATAGTAATCTGTGGATATTTATAGTAATATTACTTCACTGGCTCGACAGTATTTTGTTTTATGGGATTTAAGAAAAGTCTAGCCCTATCAGGTTAGCAAGGCGAATCTAGCAAATTTGTAGCTAAATAGTTGCTAATTAGTTGCCAAAACAACATTTTGTTGCTCGTGCCGATCCCTAGAAATCGCAAATAATGCCATCGTGATATAAAGGTAGCAAGGTCACTCAATAAATAATATAATTTTTCTTTGATCTTTATAGAAGATTCAGTTACTATTTAGTATTTATTGAGTTATCTTGTTACCTTTATATCACGATAGCATTTTTTTTCGCTATATACAAGGTTTAGCAACTGAATAGTAACTAAATCTTCTGTAAAGATCAAAGGAAGAGTATATTATTTATTGAGTTACCTTGCTACCTTTATATCACGATAGCATTATTTGCGATTTCTAGGGATCGGCACGAGCAACAAAATCGTGTTTTTGGCAACTAATTAGCAACTATTTAGCTACAAATTGATGTATTTTCTGCAATTTTGCTGGATTCGCCTTGCTAGCCTGATAGGGCTGAAAAGTCTTGCAACTATAATCTAACTTTCGACTAATATAGGAATGTTGGCTTTCACGGCTGGTATCAATGTTTTGATTCGTTTCCGGGTTTGCTGTGGTCTTCTTTGGTTTCAATCTCCAAACGTTTCCACTGCAACTGCGGCAGTCATCTTCAGTCTATAGTCACTCCAATACAGTCAATACAGATGGATGTAGCCGTTACTATGTGGTAGGAAATCATCATGAAAAATGAGAATTAAAAAACATAGAAAGTTTCAATTCTCATTTTTCATGATAGTGAAACTATAAACCAGGGTTCGGCAACCTTTTAAAAAAGAGGTGCTCATCTGCAATTTAAAACAAAGCCAAAGTGCCACTATGAAAAACTGTATAATTTTTATAAAGGAATTGTTGAAAATAATGAGGGAGATAACTAAAAATATGAAAAAATAATTAACAGTTTTTCTAAAAATTTAATTCAAAAAGCTTATGTATTTCTGGTTCATGCCTAGTTACTTTTGATGTAACACACGCCTCTGAATTTTCTGTTTTCAGCCGGCTTCGATATGAATTCAAAATGATTTTTATATGGGAACAAACTTGCTCACACATATAGGACGATCCGAATGATGAAAGCATTGCAAATGCCAAATTCATCCGGCAAACCAGCCCAATAATTCAATATTTCTTTCGATTTCCGTATTAGGAATCACACGTTAAAAGGTAAGACCTCGGTAATCCTTGCCTCGCACAAGTTTCGACTTCTGAGGGTTGTCGTTCGTAGGGGTGCGAGAGCTGGTTAAAGGAAAAACAGATTTTAAACAGATTTTTTATCCTGAGGATCACCTGCTAAAACTCTTCTTAGTTTCACACATTTTGTCTTCCATAACTTGGAGTTCATAAATACAATATGCTGATGCTCAAAATTTTGAATGTCCAACCACGCGAAAAAAAAATCATTAAAAGGAATGCTATCTATTAAGTCTGGTTTTATCAAGACAGAGAACAAGTGATCATGTTTATCAAAATTTTGATCTCTTTCACCAAAATGTTTTTTCAGTGAAGTCATGTAGTTTAACATTTCCTCATTAAATGCAGCATTATTACAATTATCAAAGTTCGGTAAGTATGTTTTCAGATTCGGAAAGTATTTATATGTATGGGAGGTGATATCGCGAATGAATACACCTATTTTCATTTTGAAAGACTTCATTTGAACAAATTATTCAGTCAAAGTTGAATCAATATACCAATAAATATATTGTCCCAGAAAAACATGTGTTTATGGATATTGAATCAATTAAATGTAATCTATTTCTTTTCAGCAATTTTTTCTGGCATGTTTTGAAAATGATTTCAGAAAAGCATTTGATCAGGTGGATCATCATGTATTACTGCCCGAATTAAGAAATTATAGAATACAGTTATTATCAAATTACCTACAAAATCAATTTTTTATCATTAAAAACAATCAAAATATATATCTAAAGTTCCCTATAACGTCAGGTTACACAAGGCTCCAATTTGGGGCTTGTATTGTTCACTATTCATTAATGATATTTCATACGGTTTGCTTTTCGCAGACGATTTTAGGGTTTTCAAAAACGTAAAAACGGTTAGGAGCTGTTTACTCTCACAGAAAAATTTGAACAACATAGTAAAATGGGGACATGATAATAAACATTCATTCCATTTAAGTGAATGGCATTTTCTTACTGTGAATAGATTAAAACACCCAGTTAGTTTTGATTACATAACGACACTTTTTTGGGCGTGTGCCCATGAGCCAACCAAGCACTTCTCGAAGGGAAAAACCCGCCAAAAAAGGCAATGGTTATTGTGTGACGGGAGTGATTGACTATAACTTTTTGCAACCTCTAACATTTGCAGAATTCAGATATTAGATGTAATAAATCGTAATAAATCGATTATATATACCATAACTTATTGAAAGGTAGAACCTCTATCGTGAAATAAATCCAAAACAAGCACTCAAGCAACATAACTGAAATACTCTTCTCGACGCGCGTTTCAATAACCAAGTTGGCCTCTTGAGGAGATAAAGTAGTCTACTTCGGCTATTGAGTAGTGTTTGTTTTGTATTTATACCATGTCGCCCAAAAATTTGACATTTCTATACAGTCCCTTATCAGCTGGAAAAGAAAGCTACAATACAAAATTTCAGAACTTCGGCTTCTGCTCAGTAGATGGCATATCTGTATAATTCATATGAACATCTATCAATATTTTCGGTCTTGGAAGATAACATAAATATTTTTCTTGGCCATTTTTTAGAAAAAATTCTGTAAATATTTACAACTAATATGTGAATATGGATTACTAAAAATGTTTGATTCAAAATTGGCTTTTTAGAAAGGAAAGTACACGACATCTTTCTTCCATTGAACCCTAATGTTGTATTGTTCAATTTTTTCTATGTGACTGCTTATAGAAGCCATTTTTGACTGCATTGCAGTGATGAGGCCGAAAGCCAGAAACACGTGTCCACATTTTGCCATTTTTTGAATTTTCTTCTTTCAAACGCATTCGTTTATATCTTAGAGTATTTATATTCTGGACCCGGAAGTCACACAGAAAGCAAAAGCTATAGCTATAGCTTCTAACTGAAACCTCAAGAATTCAAAAATGTTGTTTGTTCACGTACCCATTCATTCAGAAATGAGCATTGCTGAACATCGTGAATATATGAAGAAAAGACATATAACAGAATTGGAGATATCGAAGTATATTCTGAAATCAACTGGTGACGCAATAAAATGGAATGGAACACAAATTGTCACCAAGAAACGTTATGGAGAAATGAGAATTCTCATTCGCATACAATTTTTCAGCAGGTAACTAGTGTATTTCAAATAGTTCTTTGAATATTGATTGTATCTGGTTAAAATTGCTATAGCGAGAAGTTGAAAACGAAAATATAAGCCTGAACTGGATTCTCAGATAA